TTCCTCATGATCAATCGAAAGATGCCAGGTCTTCAAGCACTTCTCTACAGGAGATGCATCCCCCTGCACTCCTCCAATTTCCTGGATATGTGATACTGCTGGCAAAATGGTAGGAATCAGGTGGGACCTTACTGAAAATTCACGGATCAGGACACCAAAATTATTGACTTAGGAATATGTATGCTGTGTTATCACCGAAGCTCGTGCCATTCAATCGAGATCATAGTAATTAGTACAGTCTGAAATAATGAATTCAGACCGTAGCGCTAAGTAGAATTCATTCATTGATGCGACTCTAAAACTTTCCTTAATAGGTAGACCATATCTCACGAGGGAAGCCCACCAACTGATTAAAAGCTTTAAGGCTCATATTTACGCCATAAGTAGTGCTTAGTGAGACTAGATGAATTCTAGAAGGATTTTCTTGAATAGGCCTATTTGATTAAAGAGGGAAGGTCCCCAAGTGTGAAATCTACACTGTAAAAAGGCCAAAAGTCATCGAGCGGAGTTTATCATGGTCAAGAGAATTCTAGAACCTTCTATAGCCCTCAGGTACTCTGTAAAAGACTTCACAACGCCTTAGAAAGTCCTATAATTCTTTTGGCTATGATAAACTCCGCTCGGTGACTTTTGACCTTTTAACAGTGTAGGATCTTTCCTCTTTTTGGTCAGATAGACCCATTCAGGGAAATCCTTTTAGGATTCATCTAGTCTCACTAACCACTACTTATGGCGTAAATATGAGCCTTAAAGCTTTTAATAAGTTGGTGAGGCTCCCGGATCAGTTATTTTAAAGTGATTTATAAAAAAAATTCAGACTAGAGATAGCTACGATAATATTTGTACCCAACTATCTGATCGCTTTTTGTTTGAGACGATTGCCATTTGATCAGTCATGACAAGTATTTTTTAAAAAAAGAAGGTCTTTTTTAGTTTGATGTTCCGGGCTTCGCTTGCCAAAGAATCATTCTTCTTTCGAACTACAGCCCAAAACAGACGTTTCTAGTGACTATAAGGTCTCTCTTTGAACAAAATTTCAGCTTGCAATTCGATCAGTTATGCTCATATGGCGAAGGATTCATAACTTGACAAGTGAAGAATGAAAAAATCAAACTTTTTACTATTCATTATGACCGATTCACTAGCAATAGTCTCAAACGATTAGACACTGAATCTTTCAGTTTTAAAGAAAGTTCGAACTCGCACACTTTTTTTTTAATCGTTAAAAACAACTAATCATCTTGTTACTAGTTATTAAATAATTACTATTGTTATATTATATTTTACTTACTTGATCGATTTAAAATTATCAAGAATTTTTCTTATTTGCATTTCAAAACCTAAATCAATCATTTTATCAGTTTCATTAAGTACAATAAATGTAATATGATGAAGATCAATTAATTTTTGTTCTAAAATATCATATAATCGATTTGGTAAACATATAAAAACATTTTTTTCATCATGATTTTCATTAATTGGTTTTTCATATTCATCTCCATTTATAATACAAAATGATTTAATACCAAATAAATTAAAATATGGTTGTGCAATATTAGAAATATTTTGTACAGATTCACGAGTAGATGTTAATATAATAGCGATAGAATTATCATTCGTTTGTTTACGAATTTGAAAAATAAGAGGAAGAATAAACTAAATTTTAATATTAATAAATTACTTTTATTTTTAATAAAGCTTTTTTTTTTGTTTCAACTTACGGCAAGTGTTTTTCCACTTCCTGAACTTGCTATACCGACAAGATCTCGATTTTGACTAAGAATAGGCCAAGCTATAGATTGAATAGGAGTTGGTATATCATATTCATTTTCTTCAAATTGTTTTAAAATTTTTTCTACAAAATAAAGAAGTAAAAAGATATTGTAAAAATTGAAAATTTTTTTGTTACCAGGAAAATCTGTATCACTAAATTGTAACCATGGACGTATACCGACTGCATTTTCAACTTTAACATGAAATTCTGCACAAAATGACTGTACATCAGCAAGACTCGGTACTGTTCTCTGTTCTATATTATCTTTTAATTGTTCTTTTTCATCATTTAAAAGATCTTGTTTAATTATATCTGTTGATATTTCGTTGCTCATTATTTATAATGTAATCAATTGTAAAAATAAAATAGTAACGTCTTTTTTTTTTTTTTTGCCGACTAATTTATTTTCATCATGCCATGAGAGATAGATAAATGCCTTTTTATTTTATTCGATAAAAAAAATTAACCAATCAATAATAAGAGCACATTTGACGAGTGTGAGGGCAGAAGTTATCAATTGAAATAAACTGATGTATATGTCGTGTTGAAGTGATTAACTAAATAATTATTCAATAATTGATAATATATCATAATAAAACATATATATATATTCATAATTAGTTTTGTGTTGTAATAATGTAAATATAAATTATTGAAAGATTATTCAATAACATTAAAAAACTACACTTTGTTGAGATTTTAACGGATAATCGAAAATTTTTTGGATAAAATGTTTGTTCACTTTTGAGCCGCTAGGAAGTGTTTGTGATGAATCGAAATCTATGACTTAGAACTAGAATTTTGTGCTCTTTCAGAATTTAATCTTAGAAAAATTTCTTCAGTTTTTATTCTGGAGCAGTGAAATAATCTTTGAAGAGCTCAAAAAAATTAGTTTGGACAAAGATTGTGGGCTGAAGTTTCTAGTGAACATATTTATGCATTTTGGTCTGGCCCGAAAGCATATCAATTCAGTCAAAACTTGTAGATCTTGGTCAGAATTTTGTGCTCTTTTTAAATATGGGTTTAGAAATGTTGTGTCTGTTCTTGTTTAAGAGTACTATGGGATTTTTTGAAAGGCCCAAGAATGATTCAACAGGTTTTTATTTTCCTATAAGTTCCTTTTCGGACATGCTAAAAATCGTAGATGTCGGTCGTTTTGTAGAGACGATGCTTCTCTACAATATTTGATGTTAAAATAAGCTGTAATTTTTACCCAAGTGAAGCTACAACCATTTTATCAAGAGCTTCTTTGAACGTAAAAAGGTTCGATCAAAAAAAGTCGATTTTTCAAAAATGAGCATTTAGGAAAAAAAAGAATATTGAGTGGTCTTGTTGAAAAACAAACAAATACTGAAATAGTGTATCTTGTAGAGCAGTTTCTGATCCACAACCTTAACATCTCAATTTTCCTTTCGAATCGAAACGGTTAGTGAAAATACAAAAAATGTGCTGAAAAATTTTATCCAACCGAATTTTTTGAGCTCTTCAAAGATTATTTCACTATTCCAGAATAAAAACTGAAGAAATTTTTCTAAGATTATATTCTGAAAAAACATAAAATTCTGATCCTAAGTCATAGATTTTGATTCATCACAAACGCTTTCTAGCGGCTCAAAAGTGAACGAACATTTTATCCAAAAGATTTTCAATCACTCTTTAAAATATCAACGAAATGTAATTTTTAATGTTATTGAATAATCTTTTAATAATTTACTTATTTTTAAAAAATTATATTTACATTATTACAATGCAAAATTAAGTATGAATGTATATTTTTTATTATGATATATTATCAATTATTGAATAATTATTTAGTGATTAGTTGATCTGAAATAACTTCGACACGATATATATATACTTATAGATGCATACAAGTTTGACATTGAATAACATTTAAAAAAAAAAAGTTAATGTCATTTAACTTCAAGTATTCAAAAATATACCAATTTGTCGTTTGATAATTTTTTTCGAGTAAAAATAGTTTTTTTTTAACATGGATGTTGATCTTTATCAATGACAGTATCTCAATTTAAATAATATCAATTTATTCAAACTAAATAATTTTTCTTCGCTACATCAAAAATATTACGATCAATCGATTAAGTAGTATATAGGCATTATATTTATATGTAAATATTTTCAATAGCTAAATAGTAAAATAAATATTAAATCATTACAATTATAATATTGAGACATCTGAAACGAGATTAAAATGTTCTTTTTTTCTCTATAGAAATAATAAATTACATATATATGCCAGAGATGGGATAGGTTCGGTTTCAAAAAATAAAAAGTGAATTAATTCCATCTTAAAACTGATACCCTAATGCATTGGTTAACTTATTAAAATTTTTGACTAGATAAGGCTATATTCAGTTGTCGAAAAAAAAACAGCATGGACTGATCCTACCTCTGATGCATGCCGAGAATGCTCATTTATGAAGTTGATGAAGAAACATTTCGAAATGTTTGATCGCTTTTGCGTCTAGACTATGTATATCATGTAAATTCTAATGAGTTTTTGAATAATCTCAAAATGATTTCGAACTATTATCTCACTATCTGATCATACATTTATACGATATTTTGTAGCACGATACCGTATGGATAACTGCATTCATGCATCTGGGAGATATTCATAGTTCATGAGGTCCTACATGATGCACATACTTTTCAATTCAAAAGTGATTTTGACATTCGTAAATGTTCTCTCGTAAGCAGAAATAAAAGTCTCCGATATGTAGTCAAGCGATCGATTAGTGTAAAGTGAAATAGATACTAGACTATATTGCTCGAGTGATAACAACTGATCATATGAGCTCCGAATATGTTAGTATTTTGTCTTGTTGAAATAGATTCTAATATTAATTTTTTTGTTCATATGCTTTTGACATGATTCTAATGCTAAGCTTTTTTTTCCAATTCGAAATAATGTTCAACTATTATGAACGAGTAAGTGACTTGAATCGTGGCTAATGTATTGAGTAGAAAGAATTTACTGCGGGACCTAAGCGACTGAAAAGCAAGAATTCAGCTACTGCACTTTGTGCAATCAGTCGACTTTAATAAAAAAATTTCTATTGAAGTATGTGAACACTGGCGACATCGAAAGATAAAATATATGCTTGGTTAATCGACAAGTATTTCGTATATCTTTATAACCAATTGTAATAATAGCAAGTGGTAGATTGTTAATAGAACATAAAAAAGAAAATAAATTTTCATAATGACCGATGAAAATAAATGTGTGGATTGTCAAACTATGACTAATTTAATAGCACATCGACGACATGCACATGGTTTATGTGATGGTTATCCGACAATATTATTTTATGCTCGTGAAATGCAAAAATTAGCTGAAGAAATTCAATCATATAGTAAAGAACATAGAATTGAATTAGGTGAAATTGATTGGAAAGTATTTCCTGATAATTGGCCAAATATTTTTATACGTAATTCTGAACAAATTCGTCATAGTCATGTTATATTTTTAGCTTCATTTCATAATCCACAAACAATATTTGAACAAATTTCATTACTTTATCATTTACCAAAATATCTTTGTCGATCATTAAAAGTTTTGTTACCTTATTTTCCAACAGGTACAATGGAACGTATTCAAATTCAAGGTGAAATTGCAACAGCATATTCACTTGCACAAATGCTTTCATCAATACCATTAACACGTACAGGTCCATCTGAAGTTATTATATTTGATATACATGCATTACAAAATCAATTTTATTTTTCATCAAATATTATTGTTCGTCTTGAATCAACAGTTGATTTATTATTAGATGAATTAAAAGAATCAGAAAATCAAAATGAAAAATATGCTATTGCATTTCCAGATGATGGAGCTCATAAAAGATTTGGTCAAATGTTTGATGAAATGACATATCCAATAGTAATATGTAGTAAAATTCGTGAAGGTGATAAACGTATGACAACTATTAAAGAAGGTTTGTTTTTGTATTTTTGACTAAATTTTTTGTATAGAAAAAAAAATTTTTTTTCATTTCAAGGTGATCCAAAAGGTTATCATTGTATAATTATTGATGATTTAGTACAATCAGGTGGTACACTTATTGAATGTGCACAAACACTTTTAGATAAAGGTGCTGTTGATATATCAGCTTTTGTTGGTCATGGAATATTTCCAAATGAAAGTTGGAAAAAATTTCTTCATTCAAATAATCCAAAAGTTCGTTTCAATACATTTTATGTTACAAATACTTATCCAAATACACAAGTGTTAATTGATAAACCTCCATTTAAAGTATTTTCTATTGTCCAACTTTTATGTAATATTTGTTTTCATTGAATTTTAAACATTCTTATTTTTAAAATAGCAAAAAAGAAAATAGTTCGTTTTAAATGAATAAATCTAGCACATCTCACTTTATAAGTTTTATCTTACATTTCAAACAAAAAAAAAGAATACACTTTTTGAATTGTCTACAATCTAATTTTGAATGATATTGTAAAAGATCGAAAAAAGAGATTAATGTGATATAGAAAATAAAATACTTCGATATGGTCGAGTTTTTTCCCAACCGATATTGGGCATCTTCTGTTTACATGATTAAAAAGAAAGTATATCCAAATGTCAAATGTCGTTCGACTTTATATTATGGCTATGAGTAGATCTTGATGAGATTAAGAAGAATTTCAAGGAATTAGAACTTATAGTCTACTGATAAAGAGTTATGACCATTTTAATGAAATTATTTACTGATAACAAGAGTTTTCTGGAAAAGTTTCGAATCGAAATTTTGTCTAATCAACTACTGTAATTTCTTATGGTAAACTGCTGTTGTATTTTGAATATTGACTATCTCAAAAAAAGATATTCGTTTTCGTTGAAACATTCGAGACTAATAATTCTACCTATAAACAGAATTTCAGATCAAACTTTTTTGTTTTGGATTTCTCGGAAACAGGGACAGCTTACGAGGAGCACATGGTGACCTTGCTGCTTTCACTGCTGAGTTACGCTTCTGCCAGAAATGCCTTCTTCTCAATAGAAATGATCGACTATCTTCTGACCGCCATTCTACCACAGTATACCGGCGGTAATGCAAACAAACATGTAACATTGAAAATAAAGGATCAAGATTTCAGGTGTTCATTAATCATTTTGAGGAAATATAGGTAATGTAATGTTATTTCTTATTTCTTATTGTTTATTCTTTTCTCAATCGATCAAAAAATTTTCATTTAGTTGAAAAGAGCCCAAGGTTTCCAAAAATAGAAATTTAACAATTAAAGAAAATTGGACACTATAGGCTGACTTTGTTTCTTCTGTAATCACACTTGAAACTGAATATAAACGGGATATGAAGTGAAATCTGAATATGGACCTGCAGCTCTATTGAAAGAAGGTGGGTGTTGGGTGTGGGTGTGGATGTTAGTCTGAGATTCACCCACACCCCACAACCACACACCCATACCCACATCCCACAGCCACAGCCACACACCCACCCATACCCTAGTCACACCCACATCCACATTCCAATTTAAACACGTCTAAAGTTCGCATCCTAAAAAACATGAAATTTTTCAAATACTTTTTTGAATGCTTTCGATAAAGCAAATTTTCATTTAATCAGACAATTACCGGAAGATTTTTTTTGAGAACAATATTCTTAAATAGGAGTGAAAAGTTATGGTTATTTGTTATAAATAAAAAAAAAGCTTGTTAGCGTAGCTCCAAACGAGGTAAAATGTGGAAGTCACGTATATCTTTGAAACTTGTTATTCTGATGACCGATCTTTAAACTGTAAAATAGCTTTTTTTCGAGTATTTATGAAAGCGTTGATATATTATATAAAATCGAAAGTCTTCTATGTGCGATTGCTGAGATATGTAATCGGGGGGTGTCTGTAATGTTTTCTTTCTCCGTTACTATGTATCTGTAATGGGATGGGAGGGGGGGAGAGGGTGGAGGCGCCAAACCTCGAACTGAAAGCTTACACTCACTACCCAGGCGAGCAAAGGACGGGTAAAAAGACTAGTCATTTTTCTAGTCGTGACTATGCGTCATGTCTAGTCTTTTTCTCAAAAAGTCCTACTACATGACTAGTCCAAAATGGGTTGGAATCTTTAACCCCGTCTGGGCATCCCGTCCGAAAATAGATTTTAAATTAAAAAAGGCAGAGCGCCTGTGACGCGACATCTATTAGGTTTCAGTCTTATGTAGCGGTCTAGTTCGGACTAGTCTAAATGATAGAAATATGTGCAGAAAGTTAGATTCGTACATGCATACCTTGTGTTACTTACTCGTCGTCTACCCGATTGAGCCATATGATCTAGTGATCAACTTTTACATGTCAATACACATCTGAAGACACTAATTACTACAGTTTGACTCAGCGTTTTCTCAAGTTTTAATATTTATAGAAACTACTTGTAATAAAATCGAAAATTAGTTAAATAAAGCTAAGCAAAATTAATTCAGAATTTTTTTAATTTCCTTCAACAGAATTTTTTTTTGATTATCGACATATAGAAAAAATTATTTTCTATTGGAACAAACAATTAAAATTCAAATCAAAATCAAAATAATAATATACATTTCAAAAAAAGATCTTGCTTTTCATCTAATGGTTTATGTTTATCTTAATTTAAAATATTTCCTATTTAAATTTGAAAATGAACTATGATTCCACCGTTTAAATCTATTTTTAAATTCAAATCATTAGGTTTTATATTGAAATAAAATAATATCCTTATATCAATGCATTAAAATTAATTTTTCGAATAAAATTATTCTTGATTGTTATTACAATTTAAAAATTTAAAAGGACATAAATAGCCAACTCTCATTAGATACATCGTTCTAGTCCCAATACAAACTAGTCAAAACGAATTGTCCGAATGATTAAGTCCAAGCAATAAAGACTGTTTGGAAGGATAGACTAGCCTGGACCAGAATTAGCATTACTTTCTCGAAAACGACTAGTCATGACCAATATAGATGACTCTTCATACTAGTCCGCGTTACTCATTGAAAACAGTTCAGACTAGTCAGGTATCCAATATTGTCGGCTTGAATGTTCGAATCCACCTATCGCCTCCGTTTCTTCTAGTTTTTGCCTTCAAGTTGACGCGTCTGGACAGTATGCACATACAAAACGGACTAGCCATGACAAGATTAGAGCATGTTTTGGACTAGTCTATTTTAGATGCAAGACGTCCCTCGTGAAGACGACTAGTCCTGACTTGCTGCAAATCATTTCAGACTAGTCCAAACGGCAGTGCAGACATTTTAGACTAGTCCAGACGGGTACTACGGACACTTTAGACTAGTCATGTCGGGCGTCACTCCTTATTTTTTGCTCGCCTGGGTATTTTCTTCGAAAACGTACGTGAGTTCCACAGAATAAGAAACAACTTTTTTTCGGAAACGGCTTTAACGTCAACGAATCTGAAAATTTGAGAATTTGCATAGATCATATAGAGGGTGGACTAAAGGTAACAAGATAAATAGTTTTTTTTTCGATTTTGTTTCTTTAAATATCGATAGTTACATCTCATATCTATACTACACATACTAGGTGATACTAGTCAGATATT